CCCCTCGTCACCCCTTCTGTGCGGGAGGTTTAGGGCCCAACCATCTTCAGTGTGGCCACAGTATTGGCGTCGCCAGATTGCCGCGCACCGCCGATGCATCGGCAACCCGATTTTCTCCACGCAGACGTCTCCGACGCATCGTCGATGCATCTATGCTGCAGTGCGGTCTTGCCACCCCGCTCGCCCTGGCCCCCGTAGGAGGCCTCCACGGGGGGAGGAGGGAGGCCTCACGCGCTGGTGGCCCAGATCGGTCGGCGACTTTCTGTTCTCTGTGCTGCGAGTCGGCTCTTTGAGTGCCGGCCGCGGTGAAGTAAGGACCATTTTGGGCTCAGGAGGGGCTCTGGGTTTCGGGTCGTGCCTTAGACTTACGTCGGGGAACCAGTCCGTGGCCGAGGCTCGCCGTGGCCAGACAAGCCCCTTCGTTCCCCACGTAGCACTCCAGATGGTAGCACGATGACTGTAGGAGTTGGCTCTTTCACTGCCCGCCGCGCTTCAATCGCCGGTGGAGGGTCAGTGCGAAGGCAGGACGCCTGGGACACCAGTCAGGCGCCGCCATCTCGAAGCCATCAGGAATCCTGAGGGCGCCACGCAGTGGACTGTGGCGCTGGGGCTTCTCCGGGATGCCCTGCGGTGCCAGGGGACGCCCAGGAGCTCCACCAGGGGCTCAGCGTCGAGTGTGCAAACCAATGTTGGCTTCTACTTGGGTGCCATCCGCTCATGTGGCAGGGTCGGGCAGTGGCAGCAGGCTCTGCTATTGCTGCGGGAGTTGTGGGCATCGGCTCTGGAGCGCTCCATTGTCTCCTACAGCGCCGGAGTCAGTGCGTGCGCGAGAGGCGCGGAGTGGCAGCAGGCGCTGTCGCTGCTGAGGGAGTTGTGGGCGTGGGAGCTGGAGCTGGACGTCGTTTGCTGCAGCGCCGCAGTCAGCGCGTGCGAGAAAGGTGGGAAGTGGGATCATGCTCTGTCGTTGCTGATGGAGCTGCGGGAGGAGGAGCTGGAGCCAGACGTCGGCTCCCTCGACAGTGTGCTGGCATGGTAGCCCAAAGTACGCAATGATGGCATTCTGCTCTCCCCTCTTCGGGGGGACAGTGCGATAGTGCGAGCCTCGCGCCGGGCCGCTGGAGCACGCAGCTGCACCGTCTGAGAGGCGGCAGACCACGTGCACGTGGGGTGCGTAGCGCACCCACTGGCAGCCGCAGCCTCTGGAGTCTCTGGTCGAGGCGCCGAGATGGGGACCGCTGGGTCTAAGGCGGGGCTCCGGTACTCGGGCCGTGCCTCGGACCTCGGCCGTGGAGCCCGTTCGTGGCCGAGGCTCGCCGTGGCCAGAAGACCTCCTCCTCCTCCTCCCTCTCCCCCTCCCCCTCCCCCTCCTCCTCCTCCTCCTCCTCCTCCTCCTCCTCCTCCTCCCTCCTCCTCCTCCTCTTCCTCCTCCTCCTCCTCCTCCTCCTCCTCACTCCTCCTCCCCTCCTCCTGCTCTCCTCCTCCTCTCCTCCTCCTCTCCCTCCGTCCTCCTCCTCCTCCTCCTCCTCCTCCTCCTCCTCCTCCTCCTCCTTCCTCCTCCTTCCTCCTCCTCCTCCTCCTCCTCCTCCTCCTCCTCCTCCTCCTCCTCCTCCTCTCCTCCTCCTCCTCCTCCTCCTCCTCTCCTCCTCCTCCTCCTCCTCCTCCCCCCCCCGCCTCCTCCTCCTCCTCCTCCTCCTCCTTCCTCCTCCTCCTCCATCCTCCTCCTCCTCCTCCTCCTCCTCCTCCTCCTCCTCCTCCTCCTCCTTCCTCTCCTCCTGCCTCCTCCCCTCCTCCTCCTCCTCCTCCTCCTCCTCCTCCTCCTCCTCTCCTCCTCCTCCTCTCTCACTCCTCCTCCTCCTCCTTCCTCCTCGCCTCCTCCCCCCCCCTCCTCCCTCCTCCTCCCCCTCCCCCTACCCCCTCCTCCTCCCTCCTCCCAACGCCGCTTTTGGGGCACGATCGGCGACCCAGGCAGCGCACGTTGGTGGTCCGAAGCCTCTGCCCCCCCTCTAGGCATCGCAACCGATCGCCTCGCGCCGACCGTGGAGACTGGTCGCTGCCCCCCCCCGCCGCCACCCCCGCCCCCCCCAAAAAAAAATCTGTGCTAATTGTGGTAGCGCAACTGTAGTCTGCGGGCCAGCCCAACTCAGCTACAGTGCCGGAGTGAGCGCGTGCGAGAAGGGTGGGCAGTGGCAGCACGCGCTGTTGCTGATGATGGAGCTACAGGAAGCGCGAATTGAGCACAACATCTTCAGCTACAGTGCTGGAATCAGCGCGTGCGAGAAAGGCAGGCAATGGCAGTGGGCACTGTCACTGCTGAGGGAGCTATGGGAAGGCACGCTGGAGCCACACGTTATGACGTACAACGCTGGAATCAGTGCTTGTGCGAAGGGCGAGCAGTGGCAGCATGCGTTGATGTTGCTGTGGGAGATGCGAGAAGTCGTGTTGGAACCGAGCATCATCTGTACCACAATTCCGGGCGAAGCGCGTGCGAGTACGAGAAGCAGTGGCAGCGCCCGCGGGCCGCCCAGAGGGCCTCCGGGGCGCTCCTCGACGGCCCCAGGAGGCCCCTGGAGCGCTCGCCGACGCTCCGGGACCCCAGATCGCCCCAAGACGGCCTCACAGACGCCCAAGAGGGCCGAAGCCGACCCGACTGGAGCCCTGTGACGGCCCAAAAAGGCATCCGAGACGGCCCCCGAGGACCGCGTGGACGGCGCCAAGGGACAATACTTGTGTGTGTGTGTGTGTGTGTGTGTTGTCGTTTTCCCGCCATTTTGGGCCTACGACGGCCCAGGATGGCCCCCATGGGCTTCCCAGATCGCCTCTGCACGGTCCAAGAGGGCCCCAGGAGGGCCCCCAGACGGCCCAAGAAGGCCCGTAGACGGCCCAAGAGGGCCCCAAGACCGCCCAAGAGAGCTTCAAGTGACCCCCAAGTCAGCCCCAATCGGGCCCCAGATCCCGCCCGAGCGGGCCCAAAGCGACCTTCGAAACGGCCCGAGACCCCCAAGGTGGCCCCAAGACGCCCCAAGAAGGGCCCCAGATCCCGCCCGAGCGGGCCCAAAGCGACCTCCGAAACGGCCCGAGACCCCCAAGGTGGCCCCAAGACACCCCAAGAAGGGCCCCAGATCCCGCCGAAAAGGAGCCCAAAGCGACCTCCGAGACGGCCCGAGACCCCCCAGATGGCCCCAAGAAGCCCCGGACACGGTCTCAGAGGGCCCCAGCCACGGCCTCCGAGCCCCGGGTTTTCTCGCCGATTCTGAGTCCACCTTCCCATCGACCTCTTCTTCCTTCTGGAGAGTTCGGCCGCGTTCGGGCCCCCACTCAAAAGCTAATTAGGGGTTACGGGGAAACCACCAGCGATTTCGGGACCCCCCCACCAGCACCAGAGCACTTCTCCCTGCTGGCGCCTCCTCCATACATGCTCCCATGGGACCAACGCCTGGACCTGCGGGCCGTGGATTTTCCACGGGTTTACACTAGTCAGCTACAGCGCTGGGGTCAGCGCGTGCGAGAAGTGTGAACAGTGGCAGCAGGCACTGTCGTTGTTGCGGACCTCGTTGGAGGCCAGGTCGCAGCACAGTGTCGCCAGCCACAACGCCGGAATCAGCGCATGCGAGAGGTGCGGGCAGTGGCAGCGCGCGCTGCTCCTGCTCCGGGAGCTCCTGGAGTGCTCGCTGGAGCCCCAGGTCCCAGCGGACGCCGGCTGCACACCGCCGCCGATCTTGGCCGGCGGCCAGCTTTGGGCCGAGCATCGGTGCAGGATGCCTTCCTGGCCGGGAGCCGGGAGGGCGCACGCGCCGGTCCCCGTGCCCAGGCCGTGCCCTCGGCCGAGACCGGCGCGCGCGTGCCCTCGGCGGCTGGCGCCTCCGCGCCGAGGTCGCCAGCTACAACGCCGGGGTGAGGGCCTGCGGGCGGGGCGGGGAGTGGCGGCTGGCGCTGCGGCTGCTGGCGGAGCGGGAGGGCCAGGAATCGCAGGCGACCTCCTCTCTCAGGCGCTCGCAGACACGGATCAAGGGGGCGTGGATGGGCGACGGGTCCCGTCTCTGTGGGAAAGCGCGGATTCCCGCCGCCGAGCGAGGCGGCACCGGCCGCATTTTGGGGAGGGCACCTCCCCCGATCCACGGATTTGGCGACCCCGCGCCAAACCCATGGATCGCTAAGCCATGTTCGCGCGCCCCCGATTCTCCCCCCATCCCCGGGCTCCGCCGGAAGAGTCGGGCTGCGCAGGAAAGGGGGGGAAACGCCAGGGCACACCCCTGGGTGGCTATTCGGACGTACCCTCTGCAAGGATGGACCCCTGCTCATTGTGTCTATCCCAGAGTTCGGATTAGAATTTGTGGAATTTTTTGAAAAACCAGGGATTGGGGGTGTTATACTTCCGCTTAGGAAGGTACGGTATATCGCGACTCCTGGTGCCCCTCCCGGGGCGCGCCCCGACCACAGGATTTCCAGGCGAGGCAGGCGAGAGCGAGGGACGGTCGGCGGCGGCGCCAAGGGGGGGGTGGACGGCCGAGGTCCTCAGGAACCGCAGAAGTTTCCCATGACAAGCGAACAGCACACACAGAAACACACCGATAGTCGTCGTTTTCTTCTTCACTGTGTTGCCGATCGGCGCGGGCCCTCGCACCTCCTCCCCCCCAATGGAGTAGATCTTGGCTGTTATTGGCGTCGGTTTCAAGCAGGTGGAGTCTCCCCCATAGGACGCACTGTTGTAAACAGTCGCATGAAGCAGAGGTCCGGAGCCAGAACCCCACCCGTTCCGCCCATTGTCGAAACGCCGAATAAGAAACCGTTCGCGTATGGGGGTCGGAGGGAGGAGAACTGGCTGTGGGTATGGATGCGGGTCGTCGGGCCCTGAGGGAGGCTCCGACAACACGCGCCACCTCGACCAACAAACAAGCGACGCCGTCCCATCTGCGGCCCTCCATGTTGTGCTACGGCCCATCGGGCGCCGTAGCGTAAACCACGCCAAAGCCCAAGCCGGAATTCATGGTATATGCGACGGCCCGTGGGGCCGCAGGTGGGGTGGTGCTGTTTGTTTTCTGGTCCACCCACAGCCCCCTCCCTTCCTCCTGTGGGTATGGGTGCGCCCTGCTCGTTCGTCATTCAGAGCCTCCTCCGAAGCCGCGGACTGAGAAGTCCCGCCACCTTCCGAAAAGGTCCGCCCCCTCGGGCTCCTTCCCCCCCCCGGGGCGGGCGCGACGCCGAGAAGGGGCAGCGACGTCGTCGCGTCTTCCCCCCTCGGCGCCGACAATACACCCACACCCATCCTGGCCTTGCTCGTCCTGGGCCCAGGATCGGAGTGTTTTTGTGTTTTTGCGTGTGTGGTGTGTGTGTGTGTGTGTGCCTTCCCGCCCAAGCCATGAGGGCGTTTGTGCCGATCCTTGGCCAAGCCTTGGCCTGGCCAGGATCGGTGCAGGGGGACGGTTGGCGCCCTCCTGCCCCCGAGGAGCTGCGAGGGCGCGGGATGGAGCCGGACGCCATCAGCTGTGGCGCCGTGGCCAGCGCGTGCGACAGGGGCGGGCAGTGGCAGCGGGCGCTGTCTCTTCTCAGGGAGCTCGCGGGCGCGACGGTGGAGCGCAGCGCCATCCGCCCAGGGCAGTGCGGGACCTGGGCAGGCCCCGTGGATGGACGGGAGGGGGGCATACCACCAGTCGCCCTCCTCCTGCTCCTGCGTCCTCCCTCCTGCCTCCTCCCTCCTGCCTCTTCCTCCTCCCTCCTGCCCCCTCCCACTTCCCCCCTCCTGCCTCCTCCCTCTTTCTCCCTCCCCGTCCTTCTCCCCCTCCCTCCTCATCCTCCCTTCTCTCTTCTCTCTTCTTCTCCTCCTCGTCCCTCCCACCTCCTTTCTCCTCCTGTTCGTGCTCCCCACTCGTCGAGTAGGGGGCCGACTACAGGATAGATTTACCCCCAAAATGGATTTTCCGTCGAATCCGCGACAATAACAGTCAATGCTCAGTTATTTCCGTACGTCCGACCGAAGACATCTTGAGGTAATTCGATGATGTAGTCGATCCCTCGCTCCAACTCGTCGTCGTCTTCGTCCTCCTCCTCCTCCTCCTTTTCTTCCTCATCTTACGTCTCCAAATCCTGCTTCTCTCTCCGTCTGAGTCCAGGAATCTCCTGCGCAGCCGCCCCCCTGGCTCCCTCCATCCCCCTGCTCCTCCCTCTTTCTCTCCCTCTCCCCACTCCCCCTCCCCCTCCCTCTTCCTCGCCCTCCGTCCCTCTCGCACTCCTCCTTCCGCTCCCTCTTCCCTCTCCCCCTCCCCCCTTCTCTGTCCCTCTCTTCTCTCTTTCTTTCTCTTCTTTCTCTCTTCTCTATCTTTTCTTGCCTCTCTCTTACCTCTCTCTATATCTCTCTCTTTTCTTTCCCTTTCGTGTTCATATTTTCTTTCAGGACATGCAAATGCATACACGCATATACATACCAACACATCAACATACACATGCACACAGGCATGTGTATATGTAGATGCATACGCATATCTCTACACATGTGTATCTGTATGTGTACAGGTCAATGTATGTGTACATGTATATGTATGTATGCATGTATGTGCATACACATATGTATATGTATAGTTGAATGTCCATGTATATGTACATGCATATGTATAGGTATATGTCTATTCACATGTACATGCACACGTGTTTGAACATGCATGTATCTATACATGTATATGTGCATGTGCACATACCTGTTTCTGTATATGGTTATGCACATGTATCGGCATATTTTTATGTATATGCGCATGCATCAGTGTATGTATGTGTACATGTGTATGCATATATATATATATATGTATATGTATATGCATATATATAGATATGTCTGTGTGTGTGTGTCCGTGTTTACGTATACGTATAAACAGGTAATTGTCTATGCAGTATGCATAGGTATATGTAGATGGATATGAACAGGTATGTACATGTATATGACAATTTTTACGTTTACGCATACGTATACGTATTCGTATAGGTATTTGTACATGTATATGAACATGTACAGGTATACGTGAATCTGGTTATGTATAAGTATACGTATTATAGTATTCGCATTTGCAATTGTATATGTATATGTATGTGCATGTTTACATGTATGCGTATGTGTGTACACATATGCAGATGAATATGTGCATGTACATGTACATGCGTATGCATACACCTGTATATGTATATGCATATGTATATGTACACGCATCTGTATATGTGTATGTGAATGCATGTGTATATGCATACCAACCTGTATATGTGTATGTCTATTTTTACGTATGTGTATATGTAGATGCATATGCATGTGTATAATTATGTGTATATGTATATGTATAGGCACATGGACATGCATATGAAAAGTTTCAATGCCTATGTTTTTGTCTTTCTGTCTGTACATTTGTATGTATGTGTACATGTTTAGGTATATGTGTATGTATATGTTTTTGTACATGTGTATGTATATGTATATGTAGATGTATGTGTATGTGTATAGGTGCATGCATATGTATATGTACATGTACATTATATATATATGTATATGTATACGTATATGTATATGTATATGTATATGTATATGTATATGTACATGTATATGTATATGTATATGCACATGTATATGACTATATTTATGCATATGAGTAGGTACATGTATTTGTGTATTTGTATATGTATTTATATATGTATGACTACAACGATATGTATATGTGTATGTATTTGTTCATGATTATGTTTATGCATATGTCTATGTATATGTATAATCATATGCCTGTGTATATGTACATATGTATATGTCTTGAGGGCTTCGCCTTGTGCCGCTGGCCTCCCTATTACTAGTGCGCGCGGCTGCGCGGAAAGCGACGTGGGTTCTTCTCGTGGCAGGCTTCTCGGCAGCGTCTGCGGGTCATTGTTGGAGCTTCTTGGAAGCCGTTTTGGAGCCTCTTGGCGTATATTTGGGGTCTCTTGGGAGTCTCCTGGGGGTCTTTTGGGGGCCTCTTGGGGCCTCGCTCTCTCGGGGCGGAGAGGCTTGGGACCGTCTTGGGGCATGCTTCGGCCGTCTTGGTGCCGTCTTGGGGGCCTCTTGGGCCGTCATGGGAGCTTCTAAGGCCGTCGTGGGGCGATCTTGGGAACCTCTTGGTCCGTCTCGGAGCGTCGGAAAGCTGACCAACAGCCTTCGAAAATGTTAGGAACATCATTGATTTTTGCTTCGTGGGGCCCTCTTGGGAGGCCCCTTGGAGGCTTCTTGGGCCGTCTTGGCAGCATCTTGGGCTGTCTTGGGGCCATCGTGGGACATTTTGGGACCATCTTGGGCCGTCTCGGCCTCCTGAGGCTCTCTTCGGAGCCTCTTCGGGCAATCTTGGAGGCCTTGCGGGCCGTTCTGGCCGCGCGGTGGCGTCACCATGAGACACCTGGGGTGGCCCGGCGCAGGCAGAATTTGAGGTTCCCCCCCCGATGGCTGTTTGAAGGTCATTTTTCCGCTCCCGAGAGGCCTCCGAGGCCTCAGGATGTGGTCCAAGAATGATCCAAGAGGAGCCCCAGGACGGCTCAAGATGGTCGACTGCAGCCTTCGAGACGGCCCTCGAGACCGCCCAGACAGCCCCAGACAGCTTCCAGCCAGCCGCAGACAGCTTGAGATGGCCCACAGACGGCCCCCCAAATGCCCCCCAAAGGCTCACAAGACGCTTCTGAGAGGCCTCCAGGAGACGAAAATTATTGAACAATTACGGAAACAAGTTTTTTTTCAAGAACCCGCCTTTTCGCTTCCGAGGGGCCTCTCAGGCCTCAGGATGATCCAAAAATGACCCACGATGCGCCCCAAAGCGGCCCAAGATTGTCGACTGGGACCCCCGAGACCTTTCAAGGTGGCTCCGAGGCGGCTGAAGTTGGCTTCGAGACAGCCCTCGAGCTCGGCAAGACGGTCCCAGCTAGCCTCCAGACGGCCCCAGGCAGCTCAAGAGTGCTCCAAGACGACCCTTGGAGGCTTCCAAGACGCTCCCAAGAGGCCCCCAGGAGGCCAAAACCATTCCAAAACGTTGAGAAAACTATGAGTTTGTGAAGGTCTCGCCTTTTCGTTCCCGAGAGGCCTCCGAGGCCTCAGGATGGTCCAAGAATGACCCTCGAGGAGCACCAGAGAGGCCCAAGACGGTCGACAGGGGTCCCCCGAACGCTTCAAGATGGCTCCGAGACAGCCAGACATGGCTTCGAGACGGCCCTCGAGCCCGAAGGATGGCCTCCAGACGGCCCAAACAGCTCCAAGGAGGGCTCCAAGACCGCCCTACCACGCCCTGCAGAGGCTCCCAATACGCTCCCAAGGGGCCCCCAGGAGGCCAACACCCTTCACTCCCGACGGCCCGTCCAAGCCCTCAACACGCAGCCCGCAGCCGGCCTGACATTCTTGGGGGCCTCTCCTTTGAGAACATCATCCGACGGCACGACGACCGCGATAATGATGATGGCCATCATAACCAATTTCTGACTAATGGTGTTGAGGATGCAGATGGTGTTAATGATGGTGCTGACGACGACGAAACGATGACGATCATGATACTGCTGATGATGATAACCACGATGACGATGACGATGATGTCGTTGGTGATAATGATGATGATGTTGATCATGATGTTGTTGATGATGCTGTTGATGATGCTGAGGACGACGACGCCGACGCCGCCGCCGACGACGACTAGGATGATGACGATGCTGCTGCTGATGATGCTGATGATGATGAGCCTGATGGTGATGAGGATGATGGTGATCATGATGATTGTGATGATGATGGTGATGATGCTGCTGATGATGATGATGCTGATGTCAATCCTGATGATGATGATGATGATGATGATGATGATGATGATGATGATGATGCTGATGCTCATGATGCTGCTGCTGATGATGAGGATGATGGTGGCGGTGATGATGATGCTGATGTTGATATTGATGATGATGCTGATGATGATGTGATGATGATGATGATGTGATGATGGTGATGATGAGGAGGAGGAGGATGAGGATGAGGATG